TCCCTCTCTCTCTCTCTCTCTCTCTCTCTCTCTCTCTCTCTCTCTCCTCTCTCCCCCCTCCCCCCAACACCTTCTCCGGGCACCAAGAGACAAAGCCATCCACTTTCTAGTATCAAATTTAACTACCACCCACAAAGGAGATGAAGATAACACCAAAGAAAAGTCGAACAGGAAAAAAAGGAAAAAGAAAAATGACCTGTGGAAACTGATCGGTCTCACCGCAGAAATAACAGGGCAACAATCCAGGAGACCGTCGAATTTTAATCTTCCTGGACAGGAATGAAAGTTCGCGCGGATTCTCTCCCCCACGTCTGTCACAATGAATCCCGCCTTTAAGACGTTGGGTCTCTCTGGGTCCGGGGCGGCATAGCGTCATAACTTACCGGGGGCCCAGATCTCGGCCTTTCCCAGAGCCACTGGGACAACGTACGTGTTGAGATGTGGACGGTCCGTCGCTATTGAACCTTGTTGTGGTGTGTATGCAACGCAAAGTATGAACAACATGAGACGCAGCAGAAAAACAATAATCAAAAATTCTAAATATGAATAATTATGTCCACCCCGCCATGATATCTCTCACCGATCCCAGCTACTCTGTCTGAGCAGCTCCCGTGCTTATATATAGCTATCTGCTGTGGACCCTTCGGCTTTTTCCCCTCCTCCTCTCCCCACTCCTACCTAATACCTCTTCCTTTTCTCTCCCCTGTTTATTTCCACCGTTTTATAGAACACCCCGTCAGAATGGCTGCCAACCCCATCCAGAATGGTCTCTTCGTCCACGAGAATACTACTCCCCCGGAGCACCCCAGCTTGCTGAGCATGTTCTCTCTGAAGGGCAAGACCGCCATCGTTACTGGTGCTGGCGCCGGTATTGGTCTCGCTGTCGCCAACGGTCTTGCGGAAGCTGGTGCCAACGTTGCCCTGTGGTGGAACACCAATGACAAATGCCCCGAGCGTGCCGCTGAGATCGCCTCCAAATACGGTGTTCAGAGTAGGTTCCTGCTCATCCGTCACGTCTCTTAACCGTCCTGTGACTATATCATGGCCTGAGCATTTACTGAGTGTATCCAGCCAAGGCTTACCAGGTCAACATCACGAACGCCGAGGCCGTGCAGCAGGCCGTTGACCAGACCGTGAAGGACTTCAACGGCCGACTGGACGTCTTCATTGCCAACGCCGGTATTCCCTGGACCCAGGGTCCCATGGTTGACGGCCCTCTTGCGCACTACACCGACGTTGTCAGCATTGACCTCGACGGCACCTTTTACTGTGCCAAGGCTGCTGCCGCCCACTGGAGGAGACAGAAGGAGGAGGGAACCGACCTCAACGGCAACAAGTTGACCAACTTCACCTACGGTAGCTTCGTGGCTACCGCTTCCATGAGCGGTCACATTGTCAACTTCCCTCAGATGCAAGCTGCCTACAACGCTGCCAAGTCGGCCGTGATCCATCTCTGTAAGTATCCTCTGCCTCTGATCTGCCTCGGTGTCTACCAGGCTAACACCTCCAGGCAAATCTCTTTCGGTTGAATGGGTTAAGTATGCACGTGCCAACACCGTCTCCCCCGGCTACATCGCGACCGAAATCTCCAACTTCGTGCCCCAGGAGACCAAGAACATCTGGAAGGACAAGATCCCCATGGGCCGTGAAGGTCGCCCTGAGGAATTGAAGGGTGCCTACCTCTACCTGGCCTCGGATGCCTCAAGCTACACCACCGGAGCAGACCTGGTTGTCGACGGTGGCTACTGCGCTCCATAAGTGATATCCCCTTTTAATTTATTATGTCCGGCGATTTTTTTTACATCTTGGGTTTACTATACATAACGGCTTCAAACGATAAACAATAGACGGATGAACGACCTTTGGATGTCCAAAAATGTATTGTGTGTGTAGTCCAGAAAAGTAAATTCGAATTTTGAAACCCTGGTGGCGTTTGCCTTAGGGTTCCTGCACCACGATCAGGCCTTAAAATCACGGCCGTAGACGGTGACACGAAGCCTTGCAGATGTGGCTTGCAGCATATCATCTCTTGGCCTAAGAACATTGGCGCGTGACTCCCGCAAATGCCCGCCACTTGCCAGGTTTGGACGTAATACTTTTCTTATCAGCCGTACTCCGGAGTAATCCAAACCCTTCCAAGTAGTTCACTGGCAACCCCTCCTCATGCCCACGCCATCGCTCCGGACAAAAATGTCATACTGCAGATATAGTGCCCCTAACAAACAGATCTATTAATAATAATAATCTCTTATTTATCTGAAGTCCTTGTTGTACTTTATCGACAAATAATCCTGAACATTTGTTACTTTTGTTCTAAGCATCACCGCCGTGCCCTAATAAGTTTATATAATCCCGACTATAACCACCAGACTGCTCCACAACACGCAAGACAAGGAAACAGCTCCATCTGTATTGAATCCAAATGGAGAATACAATAATTATCATAATCGGCCGGCCGCATGGACCAACATTGTGAAGGACTCTGTACACTAAAAGTCCTAAGATTATGAACCGGCCAACCACTAGTACTAAGGCAACTGGCGAAGTAGAAGGAAGGTATGCCTCAAGCCACCCAGAAAGCATAAAAAAGACGCCAATGCAATATGTAAGAGAGAGCACCCCCCAGAAAACAGCATATATGCAGCCTTAGGATCCTCGTTTTCAACACCTGCAGCAACTACTACGCTCATTTACAATGCACGATGGTCCACAGCCGACGTCAAACGTCAAGAGCTTTTATCTTAGACTGCCTGCTTTTACCCTAGCCAAAGCGTATTCCCTAGAGTGGCCTATTCGCCCGGCATACCGGTCGTTTGAGATACCTTCGAACCTACAGGCGCCCCGTGTATGTCCTAAGCATTCAACTTCGAAGCGATATCCAGTTCGGACTTCTCTTCGACGCAGGGATCTTCCCTAATTCCTCTCATCATAACCGTTCCCGGCGGGATATCATGCTGGAAGGTCGGCTCCCCGTTGCCTCTTATGTTGCCAAGTGCCGACTGTAGTGTAGTGAAATAGGATGGAATTATCAACTGGAGGAACGTCAAGTAACTTGTGACAGCAGGAAACTTGGCTTAGATGCCCTGGTCGAGCACTCGAAGCTTCAACGATTGGGGGGATATACGTAGAGTAAGAGTATATTAACTAAAAGCTACGGTTGCCGCTTAAAGGATATGGCCTATGGAATAGTAAATTCTGTGAGGATTTCAGTGAGACACTCCATATATGTCAGGAACGGTGATAATATTTGCTAGAACTTATTTGGCACTCCTGAGCTCACTGGTACTTCAAGTGTTTATTTAAGTTTATCTATAGTTTACTTTGAATCCGGGTATCTGATCTGTTCTAACTGAGCTTTTAATCTTGGAACTACCCACTGCTATTTTGTACTTTCTAGATAATATATTGGAATAGCCTGATAAAAGTAGCCTCAATGGGTAGTTGAGAAGCTTGTCCTCTGTCTTGAATGTTGGTCGAAGGTTGAACTTTGGAAGATAAATCCCAGGAGGTTGCTGTCCTCGAAATCTGTAATATATTTAATCAGTCCTCCCTACTTGATAGTCTCCTGCGTTCTAAACAAGGAGCTGAAACGAGAATTGACAAGGGATAGGCTCTTAGCAGTCGACGAGCTATCTGAAGCCATCTAAAGCTCTTCCGACATATACATAATCGGAACTATCATCAGCAAAGATCTTACATCCATTGGGCGTTGACAAGAGGCGAAGTAAGAGAGTTCTTCAAAGTAAGATAATTTCCTCAGCCTTTGCGTTAGCCTGACAGCCAGGAAGAGCTAAAGCGATTGATAAAAAGATAGGGGATGTCTAATATATAATAAAATAAGCCTCTGTCTGCCTCTCCGTGCAATAGAGGGCCTCTCTACAGAAACCTCGAGTACTAATACAAGCACTATTACAACAATTGACAAGATCAAGATTAGTCCACGAACATACACCATGGAGGGAAAAGTCCATGCAGGCTACAAATTCCTCTCAATGCCACATACCATCGGCATTACATAAAAGGGCCGCAAGAAGCAATCCTTCTGAAAGACCCAACAAAAGAAACCAACAAACGAGATACTAAACATGCAACCCCACAAACAACCCCACCATACAATCAACCGCGCGATCCCAAGACGGCTCCAACCCGACTCCCTTCTCAATCCGCATCTTCAGCTCCATTTCCCACGCCGGGGTCGGCGGCTCCAGGGCCTGCGGGTAGATTTTCCCCGTCGTCGGATCGAAGTATCTCCCCAGCGGGGTTCTGGGGTTCGATGCGGGGAAGTTCGGATCGTCGGTTGATATCGACGATGGGTAGGAGGGGGCAGTGGAGTAGTTGTTGTCGATGGCGGGTGTTGGGGTGGGCCTGTGCGTTTGTTGGCCTTCCTTCTTGCTTTGGGTTTGTTCTTTTCTGTTCTATTTTCGTTTTTTTTTTTTTTTCCTCTTTTCTTTTTTCATTTCGACTCTGGGGTTGTTGGGTTTGGGGAGGGAGAACCTACCATTGATCTTCGAGGCCTTCGGGTTCCGACTCGAATTCAGTGTCAGCGACTTGAGAGTGGAACTCGACGTAGTGGTTTTCCGAATCAAGGCATTGAGCACAGCGGCCTAGACAGAGGATGATCGGGGCTCGGTTGAGGAAGACGAGGTATATGGCTGCGAATATGAGACAGGTTGCTGGGTAGAGGGTGACCATGGGTTCAGCCATGAGGGTCTCGATATCCTTGTTTTGATGTTGTTTCTTTGTATCTTATGGATGAACCCGATCAATGGAATTGTAGGTCTTTATACGTCTGAGATTGGAAGAGGTGAGTATATCTCCTGCTGGTGAGGATATACTTCCATACAGAGGAGTATAGTCAGTCCCCAGAGAATTGCCATAGGGCGACATAAGTCTCCTTGTTGAGATAGACGCTACGGCAATGCGATGATTCCATTCTGTTTGGTCAATGAGATATTGTTCTATGACCTATTGTATACATTGGTGTTTCAGATTATCGAATGCAATGTATGTAATAATGCATGTCATGTCAAGATCTCCGAGATTAAATGTAGATCTGTAACACAAAGCCCCCTACTGGATCAACACAGCGCAGACAATGCACTTCACAATTCAACAATAGCACTGAACTCGGTGTGTTTGAAGTCCGACCATAGCTTAAAGAAATACAATCCCTTGTCCTGTTTTACCCCCCAACCCAGTGATGGGGTCACGGGCATCGAGGACAAAAAGTCAGGTGGGGGGCCATTTGATGTAGATCTCAAATTCTTGACAGACGTCATAGGCATTGTCGGTCAGGAAAGATCATGAGCAGGAATAATTATAGAGAGGTGCAATCGCCGTGTTTTGGATTATTTCTATTTCAGTTTGTCTTTCCTTTTCCCTACTGAGTGTGTTTGTAAAAAACATAGGAAATGACGATCCCATATCGCAATAGACGTCCAACACCGCGTACACGCATGCAGCGTCAGCCGACCAGCGACCAACATAAGACGAGAAGATCAAGAAGCAAGACAGACACTCCAAATATGAAGCTCCTAGAGCAGATAACAATGGTATGTACTTTGTTTTCGAAAACAGGTCCAAAAGAATGTTATTAACGCGAGCAGAATATCGCAATACAAGAAGCCCTAAAATGTACTACCTGCAAGATCGATCCACCGGACCCAACTTCCAGTGGAGACCATGACTCGGAGAAAACTGGCCTAGATGAAGGGGTTTCCATGGCTGCTGAAGGACGTGCCTGGCGTGAGGAATCTCCTCTAGGCACAGTAGTCGCGGCCGGCATTGAAGACGAATCCCTCCTTACAACGCCTGCACCATCCTTTACATCCGGGTACGAGCGGTTAATGACGCCCTCTCAGATCGAGCTTTACGAGGAACGAATAGATCGATACATCTCCGAAGACCCCAACAGGGATAAGGCGCTCGCTCGGTATCATGTTGACTACCATATCCACGTACATTACATGTTTCACCGGGGAATGCTGAGTCTTTGTCGCGACGACGATGACCGGGACGAACTGAAGAAATGGATGTGGGGGTTGAGGAAGTACGAAGAGATCGAGCGCATGGCAGGGGATTCAGGCCTACAAATACCTGACTTCAGCATACCGGATAGGGCACCGTGGCCTGAGGACTGCGGGTTGATGGACCATGAGGAGGGATTGTGGAGAAAGTGGGAGCCGAGTCGACAGAGACAGGTGCAAAGATCGAAGCTCAAGTGGAAGAAAATTATGAAGGAACGCGAGAAGCAGAGACAGTTACAGTTCGTACAGCTACGGCTGGCGCACCAGAAATGCAAGGTGCAAAAGGTGAGCATTTACTGGGGAAAGGGGATACTCCGCGAGGTGGCATTGGACTCGCCATGGTGAGAAGGTCAGGGGATGAATGTACTGTTACTGTGGTAAGGCTCAACACAGACGTATTAGCTTGACTGGGATGACCATCCCTTCGTACAGTATACCAACTAGTAACTCAATCAGTATCAGGAAGGCTGTTAAGGAGCGACCCTTGGTGCGTGATTTTGAAAAGACTTAAGAAGACCAAGTGTGAAATCAGGTAGAAAGGTATCCAAAAAGCAAGAACGCCGACTCTTTCCTCGCACTCAACAAGTAGTACGGATATCAAACGAAAACATCAGCAAACGAACACTACAGGGTAAAGAAAAGAAGATAACGAAAGAAAGTCCGAAAGGAAGTTAGACCAACGACTGATCCGAGATGTTTCAATAGAACGTGTTTTCAACGTCATATGTACCATCACCAATAGTGAAATCTTGTAAATAGCGAGTTTGAACCACCCCGTAGTCTCGCCAGCCCAATAGTAGGCAGTGCATGTCTCAGTGCCCGCTGAGCAATAACTGTGAGGCCACCTGGGAATTGGTTGTTTTCCTTGTCTATACCTTCTCCTCTGTCCCGGTCATTGGAACATCTTGGGAAGGTTCGCGGATAGGCTGCTTCACATCAGGCGGAAACGACGCATTGTGCGACTCGGGCGGTTGAGCTGCGCTCTGGGGCTTGCTGTCGGGCCGCTTCTTGCCCAGCCGCTCGCACCAAAGCTCAGCGCTGACGAGGGTGTCATTCACCACTCCACTCACTTGCGCCATCATGTCTAGACCTTCCTGTGCCAGAACCAAGATGCGATGAGCGTTAATCGTGGCATCAGAGGATGCCGCACTCGAGTCGGGTGGAGGGTTCGACGTCGAAGCTACCTGGAATCGATGCGGCAAGGAAGTGAGGTGTCGGCGAACCAGGTTCCGGGCATTTTCTGGCAGTGCACCCCCAGCATACTTGGAGACAACATCTACAACCTGCTTCAAGGTCGACAAGACGTCCTCCCGGACGGCCTGGATACGCTGGGACAGCAAGGAGGTGTCCTGGTTAGGATCATTATCCTTCTTGGCATTGTCCCATTCCTTCAGGGCACCCTGCAAGGCCACGATGGCTTTGCCCAGCCGTCCGTTTGCCCATCGCAACCAGGTCAAACAATACTGCAAGCTGCGGAGGGACTCCTCGCTCATGGCGACACCCAATCCCGAGGTGGAGATCACCAATCGACTTTGCCACGTGGGGTTAGGTCGCGAAGAGTTTTGCCGACCAACCTCCTCGTAGCTGGGCGACGTCTGGTCGTCATATGGCGGGAGAGGCTCACCCATCGACAGGTCGGAGGAGCTACGCCCGCGGCGAGACGACAATGTTTCGTCAGAGCCCTTCTCCAAGTCTACTTCGGTTGGATGTTTGTCCCCGCTCACTTTGCGACGCTTAGACCGTTTGGGATCAGTTGGGCCGGATCCACGACGCTGCAGCGCCCATCGAAGGCCGCTCTCGACTCCGGTTTTGCGGCCAACCGTACCAACCGTATTGGCGACGGGGGAGCCAATGTTGCGTTCGAGGAACTCGGCTCCCGATTTGAAACGAGGCGAGTATGATTTCGAGCTGGTGTATGCCGAGACGGATCCGTTGATCGCGGAGGATATCAGAGGATGGGTTGAGGTCAGCAATGATAAGAGGGGTTCGGGTTGCGGTTTGGAGTCGGGGCTGGAGGTTTGTTGCGACACGTTTCGAGGAGGTTGACCGTACTCTGGGACGACTCTTGATTAGCATATTTCAGTGATCTCAGGAGGCTGGCTCCCGGATGAAACGAAGCAGGAGCAAAACGGCCTACCTGTACGGAGCCCCTCCAGGGCCTGCGCCGCCTCAATATCATCCATGGAGAGAACACTAGTAGCTCGACGTGAACGATCCTCCACCAGTGTAGGGTTATCGACATCCATCATGGAGGTAGGGACATTCTGCACAGAAGGATAGCCAGATGGAGGAGCGGGGAGGGTCGAAGTAGTCTGAGGTTTGCCGCTGTTGGCCGTGTTTCGGAGTGAGGAGACGGACGAATCGTTCGGCGTTGAAATGGCGCCTGAACGATTGTCCATGGAGGCCTAAAACCGACTAGTAAGGATAAAGATGATTTAGACGAGCAGTTTGGGGGGGGGGCGTCAGCGGTTTAGCTCTATCGAAATTGGAGAAGGGACGATCCCTTGAGAAGCGCGTACTAGACTAAGACCTGACTAAAAAGCAAAGGTTGAGAAGGGAAATTGATCGAGTCAGTGACGGAAGTCTTTCTCATGTGCTCTTCACGTGAAAAAATACCAACCAGCAAAACCAGAACCAAAACCAAAACCAAAAAAAATAAAAAATAAAAAATAAAAATAAAAATAAAAAAAATAAAAAATGGGACCGACCCAGTTGACCGGCAAACTACACGGCAAATGTAGGCCAGCTCTCAAATACTATCCTCAAAAAGCAAAATATAATTAGAACTTCTGGTCAGCACGGAAGGTGATTACGATCTTGCAATTCCTCCGTCCAATATATCATTGGTACATTTATATATAGAATGGAGTGATATGGAACTTCCCCCTCCCCATTACTACCCATGAATAATTAATATCTTCCCCCGGAACGCTCAGAGCATCCATTCCCATGCGACCTGTAAGGTAGAACTAGACCATGTAACGGTGAGATGCAGGAAGTACTCGACCTTCACCTTCAAGCCGACCAGGCATTCCAAGCGAATGCAACTTACCCCATTCTATCACATGCCGAATCGCTCGGAACTGAAAGAATCTGAACCACCAACAAAACGACACACTAAACCTTCTTCCCAGTGCCGGATGGGGACGGTTGCCGTCGTGGAGGGCACTGGAATTGGTGTTCCAGCAGGGCCAGCTCTTACTAAGGTTATATCCATCTCTAATTACCCAACAATCTGACATTTACCATGATTCATGATTTGCTTCCGCTTTTCAGCCTGGGGCAAGATCGTGACATGTGATCCCCACCTGAAAGAAAAGGGCGATATTACCCGCCTGACCGCCTTCTCTATGCAGTTGCAGACACGTCAGGTTTCATCTCCACCCTTCGAACCGAAGCAAAAGTCCCAACAAAGTCTCTATTGACCGCCTTCCGCACTGGTTGTGATACGTCAACTCAAAGTCGAATCTGGCATCCATTGTCCTGATTAGGAAGATCCCAGGAGAAGGGAAGTGTGCACGGTGATGACCCTGGTGATCTTTGATCTACTACTTGCCTGGACTCTGTCACTAGCACCCCTTCCATTAAGGAACTAGATGCTGGTTAGGGCATATATCAAAAGGAGTTTGCTCTTCTTCATACCTAAAATTACTACTAGTATTGCGCGTAACCATGGTTCCCCTCTCCCTTCGAATATCATGAATAACTATTAATATTAACTATACTGGTCATTGCAATTAAGTCACCCGCTACGGAAAAACTATCCAGGTCTGTTAACCCGACTCCCTGTTTGCAGATCATCACGACCACTGGTCACAGTCTGCATAGAGGCGCAAACTTCTAGAAAACAAGTACCGACGACCCACGTCCACTAGTCAAATGGCGATCCCATCTTGTGGAGGTCCCGTCCCACACTACACACTACAACCCTGACGATAGATCGCCCATCACGAATGTGCTTGTGACGCGTGGCTGGCCCGGAAATACAGGTGTTGAGCTGCTTCGGTTTATCTATTAAGCGAAGGGTGTCTTGATTCTCCCCGAACCTTTAATGGTGTTTGTTAGTGTTTTCGGCCTTCCCATGGTTCAGGCAACCCTAAGCACTGGATTGCACTCGCCATAAAACAGGTGGGGAAAGCTAAGCTGCGGAACAGGTATTGCGATTGTGACAACTTAACAGTGCATAAGTGAGAGGGGGAAAAGAGGGTATATTCTGCATTGAGGAAGATTGCTTAGGGATTGTTCACTGGGAGACCGGTATCTCGGGTATCCTTGGCTTTACTTTGCTCAATGGACGAGACCTGACAAACTTTTGTGGGAAATATAGATTCTGGTCATTTCCAAGTGTGGATATGTATGTATGTATGTACAGTACTAGAAACAATATCTATTTGTGAATCCAAAGAAGACGAGAAGCCCGGAATGAAAGCCAACAGACCAACGTCTCACTCCACGGACAGACCATCATCCCAGTCATAGTATCCTCCAGAAAGTTGTGTTGCCTGAAGCATCGTTATAGCATCTGCGCCTTCGTATTCATCGCCACCATCGCTGTCCTCGCCTTCAACCGTGTCCCCGGCTGTCAACCTTGCGACCACCTTCTGATTCATCCGGTAACAAGCTAGGATTTCATTGATCACTGATCGTGATGGTACACTACTGGCTTTTAATTGGCAGAGTATCTCTCCAAAGGCATGGAAGGCAAAGCTCGATTCGGGACGCTTCTTGTACGAGTACGAAGCGAGCAAATGGAGCCACGCATCCTTACTATGTCGCCAGACAAGGATCATGGGGTGATCACCCTCGGGTGGTGAAATGGCTCTAGCATGGTCAGCGATCTCCAACGAGACAGCCGAGAAGGAGTGTTCGCCGGTGACCGAGTGGATCCATCTGTCAAAGAGATCATCGATTTCCTGGGTGACATTTCCCAAAATCACATGAAGTTGTCCACCTTCACGTCGGTCTTTCTCGGCCTGCTCCCGTGCCTCGTCCCACGGCCTGGTAAGGTCTCTATCGTGTTCGTACGTGGTCCCCGCTTTAGCTAATAACTCTTCCAGTAGCCTCAAAACAATGTCCTTTTCTTTCCGAGCAACTTCGAACTTCAGATAGTCTATTATGTTGGTGGGCTTGGGCCTTCGACTGGGGTTTTTGTATGCAGGCAAATCTCGTGCTCTAGGGCTAACCCTTTTGCGGTATGCTCGCCACGCGTGTTCTGATAAGCGGACCCCTCCCTTACGACCATCCACGAGGTGACCGAGGAGACAGGCAAGCTCTTTGGCATTCGGTGAGTCGATTGATTCGTCGTAGGATATCTTCTCGTGCTCGACAGTACACCTTCCCAGATTAGACATGGTAAGGTTGAATGTAAAGGTGCTTTGAAGAAACTCATCCCATGAGTCAATATCTTTCATTGGCACATTATGTGTCTCAAGATTAAAGTACTCCGCAGAGTAATCCATGATGAGTAGGTCGGAATTACGAAACTTCTGGACGATATTTTGGTCCCAGCAAACCCACGGTGTATCGCCATCGTAATCACCACCAGACAACATGTGTGCCAGTGGTGTTGTCCCAACCGTAGGGAAAACAATAACATCCTTGAAATGTCGGAGCTCTGGCTTCCACACAGCCCTTCGTCGCTGGATGTCAGACGGGAGATGTGCGGGGAGTCGAGCTACAAGAACGTCCATACCGTCGAGTAGATTGTCTTCGAATTGACCTTCGGGATCACGCCAGTTATTGGAGAAGCCAAAGTGAACTTCGTCCTCTTTCAGGACCCCATATGGGTCTGCGATGCAAAATGCATAGGTGGAAAGAGGTACCTCAATATGCAGTTGTTCTACATATTGATCCAGCAGACCTATGAGACATTTCCTCAAACGCTTCCGAAGAGGGTGGAAAGTCCGAGGTGCAAAGCCTGCCTCTGTCAGTCGAATGACAGCCTCCACATCGTCAGCCATCCAATCCTCCAAGCGTCTGACCTTGTGAAGCATTGCAACGTTACTGCTTTCTGCTGGTGGCTTTATCTTTTGTATTAGACTGCGACAGAGAACGGGACTGTCCGATTGGACGACAGTAGCAAAGTCTTCATATACCGCCCTAATTCCAGCTCGTGTGAGATCGGCGACGTATTCTTTAATATGCCCTCCGTGCTCCAAAATAGCCAGAAGTTGGGTGTTCAGGTCCACCGTATGTAAGGGCTTGGACCATTTTACAACTTCGAATGTGAGCTTTTCTTCATCTACAATCTCTTTCCAACCCTGAGGGTGTGGCTCGATTTTTAATTGCGAGTCAGATATCTGAATCCACACGTTACTCCTCCCTGTGGAGACATCAGAATCGTGCTTATCTACCATCCACAGACCCTTGGCCCCGGCAATTCTGCCCTGAAATGCACTAGGGGTGATCCCGGTTATGCCTAATGAGTCGCAGATCTGGCTGGCTAGACCCCTAGACATCAAGGCACAACCATCATTCATTACCGGTGAGTTAGGGGGGTCTGCTAGATGAAGGACCTGCGATGGCTTCAAGACAACAGTGGCGAAGGTCTTCGAAAGCCCCAATGAGATACGTTGGAATAGTTTGCAGTTTTTCTGCTTTATATTCTCGTCCCGCGACATATGCCAGTCGAGCAGGGAGTCCAAGCTCATGGGGGTGTGGTTTTCACTGTTTTGTTTCGCGGGAGGTATGGGAGGTACGTGCGGGCTCTTATCAAAGTCCACGCCATCAATCGCAAAGAAGTCCACCCTGAACTTCGGCTCTGCCTTTACTTTTCGTTTCGACTTGACCTCTTCCACAAAGAAAGGCTTCCATGTCCTCCCTAGACACCGGTGGACATTCTGTGTCAGCCATAGGGCAATACTTTCTCGCAGAAGAGAAGGGTCAGATGGTAATGGGAAATGGCGCGGGGGGCGCGAGGGTGCAGGCATTGTCAAGCTAAGGAATCTGTCGGATCCAAAACGGCGATGGAATCGACATGTTCTTTCGGTTTTCAGTGGATTTAAGTTCATTTTGAAAATGCCTGGTTCATGTTCGCTGCACCATTCTAGATCACCCGTAAGGACAACAACTTCTGAATGCTTATCTGTCTTGAAGTTGCCAATAGCGGAGTCCCAAGCTTTGTTGGTTGGCTTTTCTGGGAGTGGCTTTCCATTGCGTTGGTTGTGGCCCTTGATCCATTCCCAAAAGCCATCGCGTGTTTGGAAGGGTATGCTGTTACCAGCCAGCATGCGGTCAGAGGGGATATTCCAAGCTCTGCCTATCCTCTCTAACTCGTACCGGTATCGTAAGGGTACTGAGCTCGGAAAGGAATAGGCTTGTGCAAATGGTCCGTAGTGAAGGAGGTCATCTATCAGTCGCTGCTCAACAGATTCGGGAGGCTCATCAACAATACTCTCACCTATGGATTGCGACCTTTCAAGTGCTAGTTTCAGCTCTTGGCTGAGCATATGATTCACCACCGAATCTTCGTAGTCCGAGTCACACATGAGCTCAGTAGCATCTGTGATGGTCGATATGAACGAAGTATTCAGTCTGTCATCGCGAGAATCAAAAATAGAGGTCAGTTCGGTAGTTGCGAAACTAACGTTTGGGTCGTCCTGTGCAGGTGACACTGCATCGTATCGTCGAAACTGGTCAGGTGCCGTTAATCTTTGGACAAATGCCGATGGTCCCCGTGCATCATCTACTTTGGGGCTTTTGAAAACCTGAGCTGGGCCTGGATCAAAACCGCACCCCTCTTCATCGTTGACCAAATTAAGCGGGTCCACCACAGTAGGCCCGGACTCAGGATCTTTTACCGGAGAATTTGGGGCAGTGCAGAATTCGTCCTCCTCTTCGGATATCCTTCTCTTCAGCCCTTTCGATGGGCATGATTGCCTTGTGGCTTTACCAGTGATCCCATTAAGTCCTTCGAAGAAGGGGAACAGGAGCCATTGGTCAGCATATACAATTCATCCCCGATCTGTCTCGCTAAGTATAGAACACGCTCGTCTCGCTCTGCCTCAGATATACTGGCATAACATTTATTGGTAAACGGATTCCTTTTGGAGCGAGTATTCGAAGGAAAGTCACCATTGGCCCGCACTGGTCGAGATGCCACCCACTCCTCGAAGTTGTTGAGGGTCTCATTCAAGTTGACATTCCGGTCGTAATGAAGCCTTTTGATGCCTATATACACGCGCCATCTGAGCGATTTTGTATTAGGCTCGAGAGATGGTGAGTAAAACTGTGGGTTAGGGATGTCTAAGCCAAATTGTTCGTTAAGCTTGTCGATCAATTGGCATAAATCCTTCCCTCTCTTAGGGGTGTGAAAAGACGCCATATCCTCCAAGTGGGCCTCTGGTGAGTAATTTTGGGAGGTTTACTCTACCTCCGCCTAAGCTATGACGGTGTATCAGATGCAAACCCATTTCTCCATGCTTCGATTGAAGTAGGCACTGGGCCTGTTGATTTGTGGGGACGAATGCTTCACGTACATGTAGACAAACGCGCAATGGAGGTATTCAAAGTTATCGCCAGAGCAGTCACGAAGCCTATTTCTTTTCCATAACCTCTAATGTCAGGAGCAGTAATCAGTACCCCGCAATGGAATGTACGAAGGAAGACACAAGATCCAGCCTCGCCAGAGACGCAGTGCAAAGCAGACATGGAGGGGGGGGAAGAAAAAGTACTGTACCTCACAGTAGTGTTCGCAACGCCACGCTTCAACGAATCACGTTGACGCTGGTGGCGCCTTAGTACCCGCAAAAGTCTTAGCACTAGACTACTAAGTATATCACTCAACTGACAGTTTTCCTAGTCTGTGTTATTGCATCCCGCGTGTTGCCCTGCCAAGACAAACCGGACGTCGAATTTCAGACAAAGATTGACTGCTGCTGAGTAGATACATTAAGCAGTAAGACATGCAAGGAGACACCTAGAGAAGCAACGTTGCTTGTGAAATAGTTGAGTGCTATCAAATTTATTATACCTGTTTTTGTACCCTTTCACTTTCAAGGGGTGGATTTCTTTTCTCTCTTCTCCTATTTTAGGGTTACGTCCCCTATATCATCTGCCTTTCAGGCACTTTGACTAGCCAAACGTTGCCTCTTAGGGCTAATCTAAATAGATAGGTCACATATGCAAACTCAGTCTGGCCACTAAATTGCTTTGTCGGCCGTTAATATTTTGTGCCTTTGGTCTCGTAAGTTTTGTCTATTCAAGGATCATGGATTCGGTTGCCGAATCAATAGATCTCTTAATATAGAGAACGTCACTCCCTTGGTGTGTTACAGATTTTTTTTTCTGAAATGTGAAGTTTGGCCTTTGTTTTGGCCACTGAACTTGAGAGTGATGATGGTAATGGTGATGATAGTGGAAGTGATGGTGGTAGTGAATAGCGCCTGTCTTAGATACGTTTTCGAGATAGTGGTTTCCTAACGAAAAAGATTGCATGGTCATTTGCTCTCGCATATTTGCCTGTCCGCTTTCTGCATCGGGTACCAAGGCTGAAGCACCAGAGTTCCTAGTTTGTGCTGCATTCAACGAATATGGACTGCCCCTACTCCTAGACGCGGTCTGATGCTGCCGAGTAAATTCCACGTTTTAAGGCAATGGCTTGGAAAGAGCATTTGACGCTAAGGATGAGGCGCTTAAATCTTTGCCACCATTACAGTATGACACGTATGGAGATTCGTCGCTGTAAATCGGAGTTACTGGTAGTTCCTGTTGTAACTTGTCGAATACATCAACCCATGTCATCGTTTGGCTGTCCAATGTACTCAATGCCGTCATTGACTGATTCTCTACAAAACCATTCCGCTGTCCTATGGCTGGAGTATTGGATATTAAGCCTGAATGATCAGGCATTGATTGAATATCTTGCAGGATGGACGAGAGAGCCCCATCCAGAGGTGTAGAGGACGGATGTGCAGTATCTAACCACCGAGGCATTGACGCGCTACTCGAGGAGTCTTCTAGAGATAGCGATGAGTCGCCTACTCTGGAAATGTCTTTCTCCAATCTCCGCCATCGATTTCGGCAAGTAAGAGGCGGACGGTCAGATAACCCGGCCGTGGTGGCGGACCATTGGTGCCTAAGCTGAGACACCTTGACAGTCAGGTATTGATCTTCTTGGGGAGTCCAGGGCCTTAGGCAATCTTCAACTTTCGGGTCAAGAATGTCGTTGTATCTCTTTGCACACTGGTCATCCTTCCGGCCTGGAATGAGTCGCGCTAAGGAACTTCTAGTCAGCAATAAAGCTAGCTCAACATAAATAACCTTTGGTATCAGTTTCTTTCCAGGCAAGCCCCAGTCTTCCATATGTGGCCAGTAAAGTTTCGTCTTCTTTCTTTGTCCATCGCCCTTTGCGGAGGGATGGATCTAAGGAATGAAACCAGCACTTGCGACAGTCCTAGATAGGCTTTCTGTCAGTTCTGCGATTTATACTTCCACTCATTCTATGTTAAGGTGTAAGTGGAAGGATTGGAGAAGCGAGAGAGTTACTTTGCTAGTCCTTCCAGAGAGGCGTTTAGATATCTCATCCCATTTCCCGTCCCGTCCTCGTCAGTCGCCAAAACGTTGGATAATCATTATTAACATCTCGTCTTCTGTTTTGCTCCATTGCTGACGTGACGACATTTGTATGCACTTCAGAAGCTGCCTTAATGGTTACAGAAGGGATTCATTTTGTTTCCGAGGGTAAAGGTAGCGCCGGGGCAAACATGCTGGGGATAAGGTTTGACTCAGCCCGCATATTTAGTTCAATTTCTGGACTCCGTATAGCCCTAGGTGACATGGCCCAGGGCACACCCCCGTCATTAGCACACCCGAATCATGGCTGCCAGCTTTAGTTGCATTGACCATACAAGTTATGGACTGAGCAAACCGAATCCTAACCGAGCCCGGAGATGTAATTTGGCGGGTATCTCATATCCTGACTCGGCTCGCACACACGATTGATGATAAAAGCGACACACACAACACAACAAAACATACTGTCAGTGATCGTTTCAGCTTCGTAACTATAGTCTTTACCGCTATCAATTGTCTGTCATGATGTCTTTGCACCCTCTTGGCCCAGCTACCCCGCGAGAGATTCAGCTGGCGACTGACCTAGTCAAGAAAGCCTACGAAGGTACACAGCTTCATTTCAAAGCAGCTGGCTTATAGGAGCCTCCGAAAAGGATTCTGGTACCTTTTCTCGATGCTGAACGCGAAAATCGCCCACTCCCGGCTATTTCACGCTGCATATCTCTCATCTGGTACATCAAACGCCCTCCTCGGTTTTTGAGGCGATAGTAGATGTCACCAATAACCAGCTTATTCACCATGCTGAATTGCCTCGGGACTTCCATGGACCGGTGGACCGTGCAGAGATGAATGAAGCAACCCAGGTAGTCATGGCCGACCCTCGGGTGAAGGAAGAGATCAACCGGTTGAAGATCGATGATACCACAGTGATTCTCGATCCATGGGGTTATGGTGTAGACGGCGAGGAAACCCAGTAAAGACGTACTCAGGTAGAGCTGCGTCATGTAAATTGGTCACAATGTGCTGCTACTAACCTCCTCTACTAGGTGTTTTATGTATATGCGCAATCCCAGGAACAATGACCCTGACTCGAACCACTATTGTTTCCCGTTGGATTTCATGGTTACTGTCGATTTTTCTGGGATGAAAGTCGAACAGATCACTCGCCTGCCCTTGGGGTGTGACCAAGCTACGACACCAGTCGGTTCACCTGTACCTTATCGCCGAACTGATCCTTACGAAGCCGAGTATGATCATAGCTTGCAAAAGAAGGCCCCCAGGACAACCGTGAAGCCCTACCAAGTTATTCAGCCTGAGGGTGCTTCCTTCACAGTCAAGGGCCACTTGGTCGAATGGGAGAAGTGCTGATTCCGTGTGGGGTTTAACTGGCGGGAAGGTGAGCGATTGTGCGTGTTGATCATGATCACTGGTCTCTAACCGACCGACCAGGGATGACCTTGCATGATGTATCCTTCGATGGTAAGAGTGCATTTTACAGGCTCTCACTTTCTGAAATGTTTGTTCCTTACGGGGATCCACGAAAACCTATATATCGTAAAGGCGCATTCGACTTGGGAAACGTCGGTGCTGGAGTGACGGCGAACAACTTGCAGTGTAAGCCTTATCCAATCCGCAGTGGAAATCTTTACTCAGAACATATACTACCCCTGAAACAGTGGGTTGCGATTGCCTTGGTATGGTAAAGTATCTCGATGGCTGTGTCGTTGTCCAGGACGGAAGCCCAGCACCAAGGCCGAACGTTTATCTGCATCCACGAGATCGACAACGGAATACAGTGAAAACATACCAATCACCGAACGGGCAAGGCTGTGGTAGTTCGCAAGCGACAGCTTGTCCTGCAGACTATTATCACGGTGGCTAACTATGAGTACATTTTTGTATGGTACTTCGACCAATCCGGTGAGTTGACATTCGAGACTCGGGCGACTGGCATCCTCTCCACACAGCCGATCAACAAAGATACAATGGTCCCATGGAGGACACGAGTGGCCGATGGTGTAATGGCTCCCTATCATCAACATTTATTCAATTTGCGCATCAATCCTGCCGTGGGAGGACATCGCAACATTTTTTCATTGACTGACAGTGTATCCATGCCCTGAGATGAGAATATCAACCCCTTAGGCACAGGGTACATCACCGAGCAGACCATTCTAGGCCGCGCTGGTTCTGTAGAGGATGACATCTCTAAGGGAAGGGTCTTCAAAATCCTGAACGAAAATGCCGAGAACCCTGTGTCTTTGACACCTATTGGTTATAAAGTGGTTCCTCATCGATCCCAGGTAAATATCTCCAGCAATGCTGAGTCAATGGGCTCAAGCTCACAATATCAGATGTTACTTGCGAAACCAGGCTCATGGCACTGGCGACGTTCTGAGTTTTGTGAGAGCCCGTTCTGGGTCACTAAATATAACGATCGCCAGCTCTTCCCCCAGGAAACTACACAAACCAGTCACTGAGTGGAACTGGTATCAAGTCGTGGATTGAAAATAGCCGGGATATCGTTCGGAACGAGGATATTGTTGTTTGGCACACGTTTTGGCTTTACTCACAATCCCCGTGTGGAAGACTTCCCCATCATGCCGGCCGAAATCGCTCAAGTACGCCTTGTTCCGTACAATTTCTGTCTTTATAACCCAGCAAATGATGTACCCTCATCCACTCAAGAATCTAACCAGAGTACTGATTATAAGGCGCCTGAGAGTTCTCAGTCCCCCGGGCAGCCCGGTTGCCCTGGAACTTGTCGGGGTCATCTGTGAACTGTTGCTCATATGTCATATATACTGAGTAGGAAGTGAATTGAATACTCACAGAACGTATGATGACTAGTCAATAGGAAGTTTCGAGGACAATATCAGAGTCTCGGCAAGCTTTTAAGCAAGTTGGCTGTCGAGTCTAAGGACTCGTGACAGAGGTATCTTTTCCACGTGATGTCAATACTACGAAGCTGTATTGATTGGATTTCGGTAGAATGTTTAGAATGGTTGCTATGATAAGTAGGTGATTCGCATTGAGTTAAAACGCAAGGTTAGAGCTCCCAAGCCCGCCGAGAGTGGATAGGAACACAATTGACCACCCCGAAGGGTCACCTAAGTGCGGTAAGTATACAAGAAGGGATTGACTAGCAGGCCATAAGCGTAGGAAAGGAGGCCTATTACAAGGGGAGGCACCGTGTAAGTGCGTTTAGTTGATAATTCTATACTTTTTGTTCATTTTATCTTGCTCCTATGCTTGGGAATGAGGGCTTTCGCTGTCGGATCTAGATTCTGCCTCACCGGTGAAGTGCTGGCACACCTGAGCATTCCGTAGTTAGGTTAGAGCAGATCAATAGAACTTTTTTAGATTGGTTGACTGATGAAATGGACCGGAACAAAACATGCAATGAGATTTGCGTGGGTATAAAATCTGCAAATGAAACCTATGACGGAGAACAGAAAAATATACCATCTGTTGTACCATTCTCATGAATCCGTATACAAGGCGGAGTGGTGATCTAACAGCCTGTCCTATCGTCTGCTTTCCCCTAACGTAAACAAACATAAACGCCAGTCTAAACCCACATCGCAAAAAGTGAGGAAAATAAACATCCGTCGCCCAAGGTCAAACTGATCATACAGGCGTCTACCGCATGTATAGCGAGTCGCTGGACTCAGTTCTTGGGAATATCCGAGTATACAACGAATCGGTCGACTCTGTGCGTGGGAATGCCCGCTGGTGAACCTTCGAAACCATACGGTCGGTGTATACACCCTTCGCTGTGCCCCGAACGACGGTCTCAAGATAGTCCCTGAAATCCACTGGCCTGAAGTCTGGGTAAAGCTCCTTGGCAATCAGATATCCGAGATATTTTGCGTTTTCCGGGGTGTTATCACCCCTAATACCCCAAGACAACTGATACTCAGCCAGGTACCGGGGGATGAACTTGACAGGATCGAAGGGATAAGTCTCGCTAGACTGCCGGGCGGCGAGGACACGAGTGTAGACGCTTTCCTCCGGAATCTATAGTCATAGATCAGCAACTGTCGCGATGCGCGACAACGTCCAAGCTACTTACGTAATTCCTTTGGATTTTCTCTTCGCTGATTTCTTCCAGTAGGTCGTAGATCTCATTCTGTGTCTTAACCGTGTTGTATGCATAGACCATCTTGTTCAACGTCCGCTCGTCGTCGATGATTCTGGCAACATAGCGTCCAATGTCTCTCAAATCGGTCAAACCCATAGGGGTATTGCCATCGCCGACGATTTCATTGTTTGCGGAAGTCATAGCATAGTCAGCTCGTCCGGACTCCAGGCGGGGATACGAAAGTTGGTACCACCAGCCGACATCAATGATGGTGTAGGGGAGGCGCAGTTGTTTAACATGGTTGTAAACTGTTTCTTTCTAATGGAGAGGGCATTGATGTCAGTGCCTAACGACAAACTCTTCCTTCACTTTCATCAGTACTTACTTCGTCCCTCAGCCACATGATACCACCGGGGGGTGCCACTGTGATGAAACCACATGGAACGAAGCGCTTAACTCCGGCCCTCTTAGCAGCTTTGGCGAGAGGAATTTGATCCTGCTGCTCGGCAGGACCAACACAGCTGATAACGACATCGATTCCCTCGAGCGCCTCGGTAAGAGATTCTTCAGGGCCTTTTAGATCGCATCTGCGGATTTGCATGCCGCGCTCTTGGAGGGAAACGATGGCGGGCTTCTGTACCGACCGGGGGCGGACGAGGGCGTAGAGTTCCTGTAGTCACGTGAAAGTGAGGTTAGAACAAAGGGTCGAAATTGGACAAACCAGAGGATGGAACTCTTACAAAATGGGATTTTCCAACAGTCCATTTGCAATCGAACCACCGGTCTCACCTGCTGCTCCGACGAGCAAAACCTTTGTTTTCGACATGGCGTTTATAACGGGAGGCGAGATCAGTTACAAGAAAAAGTGTTGGTTGTGCGATGATAAGATTAGGGTGAATCGAATGATGCGGGAAGTAAGAGAAATCAAACGGGAGTGAGAATAAGCAGGGATTTTTCCGTCCGGCTGGTCTCTTTTATTTCTGTTTCAAGATTGCCTTCTCTTCCAACGCAGGATTGAAGGGTCAGTCGACGTTATAAGGGCCAGCGTCCCACACGCTACCCACACTGCCTTATCCAGATTGGCCGCGGGTGGGTCGACAGTGGATGTTAAGCTCCCCAAAATGAGAGGCACTTTTGGTGCGTGAGTTGTCTGGAAAAGGAGGGGGTGGATATTCTGCGTGGTTTGACGTTCTCGTCGTACTGAGGGATGCTACCGTCAGATAAATATAGCGAGATCTACGTATAAGAATCTGGTGACTTTCTACTTATATATGCCAAGTACCTTTTTTTAATCTTTTTCCCTCTAACCTTCGTCAGGAGCATCGGAAGGTCGGATCGCAGATGTTTTGGGTTTTCCCTCACTACGGGCCGGTGGCTCGGGAGTCCCAACCCCAATACCGTTACGTCATTTTTGCCCACGGCTTCCCGGCCTAAAGACTGGACAAGTGACGATATCTGTTCCAACATTCTGTGATGGCTTTAGTTCCACCATCGTTATGATACCTACCTCTCGTTCATGGCCAGTAGTCGCGACCTCTCCTCAAGCCGACGGATTGCGAGCTGACCTCCTAAATTCAACCTGACTATTGAATCCCACATTAACCAAATCCACGCATTCCTTCTCCTGTTTCCACATCGCTAGATTGGCTCTAATGCGGGGAGGGAGACCCCAATTCCCCCAGGATTTCCAGAGTAGGGCCTTTTCTGCACCTCACAATTCATATTATCAGGTCTTCTTTGTCCAATGATCAAACCCCCACGTCAGAGATCTTCGGATCTGCGTGGCGGCCTTGTGAGCAGAACGGTGTTTGTAACCCTGGCAGTATGACGACATGGGACATTGCTGGGTTGGGACTCGGCTGTCATTGGTCGGTCCCTCGTTGCAGATGGAGTAGCTGTCCCACGGTTGCATATAATTGTCCCCTTGGAGCCTGTGACTATTTAACCAAATCATCATGGTCGGCGGCTACTGGAAATTGATCCAGTACACTACCAATGCAGCGCGAGGAGGCCCGTTACCCACTTAGCAACGGAGCCCCGAGCGTACTTCTAATTGACGCATGACAATGTACTAGTTCTTGTTCAATCCGATTGCTTTCCCCTTCGATCGGCTGGCCACCCTACTGCTATCTATGGGTTTTCCCCCCCGCAATCGTTGAGCTCCAACTAATATTCTGGAGCTTTGAGTTTTACATTAGAGATCTCATGCGTGTGCGACAGCATCCAGCGGTGCATAAGCGGCTCGTGAACCATTTGTAGAAACATGAGAAAAGCAAACAGATGTTTAATTATTGGGTGAACTTTACCGGCTAGACTTCGTTGCCTACGGAGTACACGATAATAACCCATTAAAAGGCCCATTAAGGCAAACAAGAGAATACGCACCGTTGGAAAAACTAACTCTGCGGCTCTCTTTAGGAATCCGAGGGTTCGGGACATGGATAAGCGTTCCTGACGGTGGGTTCCAGCCACTCAGACTTCGTTGTTTTTCCCAGGCGGATCTAAAACTACTACCTACTAACAGTAGTAGTTTGTTGTAAACCTGGCTTTAACCTCACTTTCTTTTGCTGCGTTGATTTGGTCCTCGTGACCACGATTGGCAGCCCAGCCTCAAGGCCCCTGGTAAAAATTCCGAAACTACTCATCTTCTGTGTTGGATCAAATTTCCTCCGGAGTCGAGGCACCGGACGAGATTCCTCCGGGAGAGGGCAGGTGCCCCGAACAGAAGATGGACGAATCGTGGCAATGAACGAGCTGGCCAATGGCCCCGACCGAGAGACGACCGGGTGGATTAACCGCTAGAAAACAAACCGCGTTCGGCTAGCCGCGATTAAGCATGGCTCAGGATGAATAGTGAGGCATGTGAGAAATAGAAATTGAATTGGTCTTTTCCCCTTCAGACTCTAGTCCCCGATCTGCAAGCTCCAGTGTCCCCTTCCTTCGCCAATGATACGCCTGACTATGCACACACACTCCTCCTAATGTCATGTAATAAATTGGCGATACTATGACAGGTTTCAAGTATGGTGAGAATGTCGGTGTGATTCAAAAGACACAGCCGCGGGTAATTCTTTTCTGGTCGCCGAGGCGAGGGATTCCTTTTTGATATCCCTACATACATACCTACCAACGATCCCCGAGCTCCTACGTAACCAGGTTATTAGTGAGCAATAGTTACCTTGGTAGTTGCCTCTAGTACCCCAATAGCTAACCAGCTTCAATATAGGGGAAATACTATATCCTGTGTAGGTGACTGTGACCAAAAAAGGCTGATGCTGGATCTGTGAAAAACAACATGGGTGCTATCTCAAAATAAAATGTATCTTCTCTTCCTCGTTGGTGATTGAACCTTAACCCAAATTTTACTTTCAATAAGCCAGAACCAAGATCCGAGGAAAGAGTCTTAATTTTCAGAAACATCCATTCGCCACGACCTCGCTCGAGGGGGCAAGCAGGATGATGTCGACACACAGAGATTTTCCCCGCTCTCCGCAATACCCCATGAAAAAGATTTTCTCTCCCCGCAGCCGACGCCTAACATCGTAAACAAAACATCGTCATCGATTCAATCTACCATTCATGATAGTACTTCTCGGTATGTGAGATTTATTCTACTGTGTAGTGGTCTCCGAATGATCTGCATTGGTCACAATTGACTTAACAACATCACCTACTGAATACAAGATGCTGTGGGGCAACCTTCAAGTCCAGGTACATATATATATATATATATTTCTCATAACGCCCTAGGTGAAACACTTAGAGGCCACAATATATACCCCTCAAAACAACGGAATTTTAGTTTCGGGACGATCCAAGCTTCATTTGTCAATATAATGGTTGTAGTAACTAGCTAACTAGCCCCTTTTGTGTTATTACTAAACAACTTATTACTCCAGCCAGGAGGAGGTGGTGGTGGTGCAGATTGACGCTAACGCAGAAGACTTCTCATTCCCAAGAGCGCGATACGCGCAAGAGAAAAACCCCGTGGTGTTTACCTCGTCATAATGGCTACCGCGTGTGGTTCAACTCGTCTATAATCGATATTTTGAAATTGATATCGTTCATCTGTGAGTAGCTATGGACTGCTAGTACTAGTAGTGAATACAGATGCTAGGATGGAAGTTACCACCATGAGCAATCGGTTTACTACATTGGGAAGGCACTTGTTTGATTGCCTTCAGTCTTCCACGTACGAATACCATAATCCTTTGACGTCTTCATTGAATACCAGAGGCGTAGATGTTCAATATAAGGCTATTCTTACATCGAACACTCATTGATATCTTGATAATTCGAGTTCTTCCGTTCCCTGTCGACACGACTCATTACTAAATGAGAAATGTCATCAGAGCGTCACACCACTGCATCATCCGGCTTATTATCAATTCCTAACAATGACAGCGAAGTTCAGAGCTGCTCACCTAGTCACAGCGAGAGTCAAAGCCTCTTCAATTCCTATGGAGTCGTAAAGTCCAACCAGGTTACTCTGATAGGTTCGTCTACAGATTGCATTAACCAATGTTTCGATCAGAATTGACGTATTGCCGAAGCAATCGGGGGAGCGATCAATACTGGTTTGATGATAGCATCCGGGAATGCTCTTGCAAGGTGCAGCATTGTTGACATAGCGTGATAGGTTGTGTTGACAGCTCCTTAGGGCAGGAGTGAGTACCCCAACGTGCTGTTTCTACTGCTGATAAATCATGATGTTAATCTATCAACCTGATAGCCTGCATCAGTTCTCATCTCATATACGATCGTGGGTATTTTGGTTTATCACGTCTTAGGCGCTCTGGCAGAGGTGGCTTCTCCAGAGCCGTCGACGGTTGCTGATCATGCCGCGAGGTTGTGTGGCCCATCTCTCGGTTTCACAATAGAGTGGATGTGAGCGAATCGGTATTCTTCCTATAGCTCCGCTAAACCCGGAACACAGATACTGGTTGAAGTTTTTGGTGATCACACCTAACCAATTGACTGCGGCAGCACTGGTAGTGTCATATTGGTTGGATGCCGATATCGTCAATCCTGGCATATGGATAACCGTGTTCATGGTAATCATACTCGGCGTAAACTTCTGGGGTAGTCGATTTATGGGCCAATATGAGCTCATTCTGTCTTCTTTCAAAATCACGGTGGTGGTTGGACTTATGGTCTTTTCCCTGATTTTAGCACTAGGAGGCGGCCCTGATCACGATAGGAGAGGATTTCGATATTGGAAAAGCCCAGGTGCCTTCGCCGGGGACCATACAGCTATTGGGAGACTTCGCGCCATATGCTGGACGATGCCTTCGGCCACCTTTGCATATCTTGGAAGTGAATTGATCGGTATCAGTATTCTGCATACGAAGAATACGCGAAAGGCTGCGCGACATGCAACTAAGCTAACATTCTACCGGATACTGGTTATCAACATCGTTACCGTTGCCTTCATCGGTATGTTGGTTCCATTCGACGCCAAGGAGTTGGAGTTCGCTAGGGTAAAACCAAGCTCGAGACTGTGTACGAGAACTACTTTTATAGGAGACAAGCAGCCTGCCGCCTCATCAGCAGCCGCTTTCGTAGTGGCGGTTCAGATAGCCCACATAGCTGTGGTACCACATATCCTCAATGCATGTTTCCTTTTATTCATATTATCCGCAGCAAACCATTCCCTCTTTATGGCAACAC